AAAATTAACCGAGTTGCTTCTATATGAAGTAGAATTTTGTTGTTTAACGTGTCTGAACATTGCTAATTCAGTACAGAAAGGATGTGATAAGTAACAGGAAGAATTGTTTATATTCAACAACCATTTCCTTCATTAACAATTTTTTTCACCCATTTTTTAAAACTTTTTCTTTAGAAAATACAGTATACATATTTCCTTTACAGCCGACACAACTTGTGATTTACAGTATAATTGCCGACAATAGACAATAGTTTTGTTGTGCACTCCCACGGTACTACACGGCAGTACAGGCCCCCTTTTTATTGTTGTATGTTGCAGACAGATCGACTGAATGAAATACTTTTAATAGTCCGTTGTCCTTAAACTCACGTAATAGGTAATATTTAGTTTTAGCTTAATGACGTGCCTGCGAAGAAACGCACTTCGTTACAGTATATCATATATTTCTTTCATGCTCACGATTTGCCTCATAACATAGCTGAATATAAAACATTTTCTCAATCTTTCATTGTAAATAGCCATATCTCGACCATGTATAGCCAGCCTATCGTGTGCTGAAAAATGGCGGTAAGCCCCACAACAACTTATGATCCATATTGATATAGTGTAAACATGACACTTAGAGCTTGAGAGCTTAAGTCAGCACAGATTCATGAAGTTAGAAAGTGTAAAGGCATTAGAAACATGAAGCTAGAGATTGTAAGCCAGTATACACAATGATATGTCAGCTTGTATACGTAGATGAAGCTTGAGATTGTAAGCCAGTATGCACCTTTGAAGCTTTAGATTGCAAGCCAGTATAGACACATGAAGCTAGAGAGTGTCAGCCAGTATACACACATGAAGCTAGAAAGTGTTAGGTAGTATACACACATGAAGCTAGAGTGTCAGCCAGTATACACACATGAAGCTAGAAAGCGTCAGCCAGTATACACACATAAAGCTAGAGAGAGTTCGCCAGTATACACACATAAAGCTAGAGAGTGTTCGCCAGTATAATCAAATGAAACCTGGATATATTTGTTCTATTAGTAGCTCAAATGTCAGATCATCTGCCAGTCACCTTGAATAATATGGTACTATTATGGTACTATTTCTACTATACACACACACTCATATATATATATATATATATATATATATATATATATATATATATATATATATATATATATATATATATATATATATAATCACAGGAGTCTGCAATTTTATCAATAAAGCACGACGAAATTTCTGACTACATGAAATCACATTAACCATATTATAAAATAATAAAGGAATGCAACTCGATCACAACCCTCCGCTCGATTCGAATTTTCTCACGCGTCTTTTATCCCTTCAGAATCTCATGTAGACTGAAAAACTACACATATCCATTTTAAAAAAACAGTAACGTAAAAAACAGTAACCTTTATTTTCACCATTACGGTCAGAAACCCTGGAGACGTGAACCATTTGAGGAAGTAGCTCATTTGTACTAGCTTCTACTCAGCAGTAAATATGCAATAGGATCTAATAATCGTTCCGTACACAGCGCAGAATCTTCCGGGTCCATCATCCGTCTAGGATCTAATATTTGAATATGATGACATCATCAGCCCTTATTTGTACTATCAGAACTTTAACTATACATTTCTGTTCTGGAAATTGATACAAAAATTATAAAATGATGCAATCTGAAATAAAAACAAGTTAAACATTTTATCTTGTAAAATTAGTTTAATGACGTTATTTAGCCCGTGGTAGATATGGACTACTTCCTCAAATGGTTCACGTCTCCAGGGTTTGTGACTGTAATGGTGAAAATAAAGGTTAATTCGCCGGATCGGATTCATGCGTTGGTCGTCCGAGAGTGATGAGAAGGTACGTTACTGTTGTTTTTTTTAAATGGATATGTGTAGTTTTTTAGTCTTCGTGCGATTCTGAAGGGATAAAAGACGCATGAGAAAATTCGAATCGAGCGGAGGGTTGTGGTCGAATTGCATTCCTTTATTATTTTATAATACCGTTTATGTGATTTCCTGTAGTCGGAAATTTCGTCGTGCTTTATTGATAAAATTGCAGACTCCTGTGATATATATATATATATATATATATATATATATATATATATATATATATATATATATATATATATATATATATATATATATATATATATATATATATATATATATAAGAATCACAAACTGTCCTGAATAGTCACGAACCCAAAAGGCGAACAAGGCTGCCACCTAGGGCGCAGTCTAAATCATGAAATTAATCAGTTATAAAGTCGAATGTTTATTAATACTAATGAACGGTGTGTAATAAGCGATGCTCCGGAGGGATTTTGGTGGAAGTTTCGCCCTTGGCGCCAAATAACCTTGCATTAGCCCTGTATCCAATGCACAAATATAGACTTAGAATCTGTCTGTGGTGCATTTGGATTCCCCCTTCCACACTGAGGCATAAACCATCATCCCACGATCGAGGTGTTGCTCTTAAGAATACTTCCAAACTATCTGCTAGTCCAGTTGTCCAAAAACAGGCCAGATGGTCAAATGTGGCCCTTTTGCCATTTTTATATGGCTCGTGCTCATAAAAAGATTCAGTTATATAATTAACGGTATAATTATAATAATTAGGATCATTACGGCCCACTAATTTTACGCTTTTAGTTCGTGTGGCGCACTGGTTTGAAAATGTTAGGCACCCTGTTCTACTCCTTATGACCTCACAGGTGATATAGTCTTTACGCCCAAATAAAAAGGCATGAGCGCTCAGGAATCAGACTCCATTTCACCTTGTGGCACAAGAATTCGTCATCACTTAGAAACAAAAAATAAATACTTCAACATCCTGTTTTCAGAAAGAAAACACCTTGGTTATCAGCATTCTCTACGCTGGTTATCAGCATGCTCTACCCTGGATATCAACGTGCTCCACCATGGTTATCAACATCGTCAGACCTTATAGCTGATGTTTGCCAAGGTCACCAGTAAAGTCTCTCTTTTTTAACGTAGATTTAATTAAATGAGAGCCTGATATCAAGACCATGCATCCATTAATTCCGCCTATTCGAAAAATGGAGCAAATTTTGAAGTTACCATTTGATGTTCGCCCCATTCGGAGCGAAAAATACCATATACAAACTATATATATATATATATATATATATATATATATATATATATATATATATATATATATATATATATATATATATATATTAACATTTTCGTGATACTTGGCAGAATATGTGTAATACGAACTCCACAAGCTTAAGAACATCAAAACCCGCTAATCGCTAGTGGTATCTCTCGTATACAACAAATCGGAGAGATGCGATTGTGTTCTGCCGATCATAAATAGAACACACGTACCTGACTCATGCTTACTTCCAGAACGGTGAACCTTGACCAGAGTGCACATCGTGCCAGTGTATACCGACATCGGAGCACTTTCTTGTCCAATGAGTCGACTTCTACCCTGTGTTATATGAAGTATTGTTATTTCCACTGGATAAAGAAAATATGGTTTACCACGTGAGAAAGCCTTGCATTTTGTTAGGGATTACAAAATAAACATGTACCATACTTTCTTGATGATTTTTAATTATACTACCTTCATCTTTTTTCATATACATTTGATAGAATATTGCAATTCCTACGTTATATAATTTATCTTATTATTATTATTATTATTATTATTATTATTATTATTATTATTATTATTATTATTATTATTATTATTATTATTATTATTATTATTATTATTATTTAGGTTATATTCCATAAATTTTTATTCAGTTTCTATTACATTTCTTAACATTTACCTTTCATTCTCACCAAATAGCCACTGTTGTGCAGAGGATCTGTAAACGCATCTTTGCTAGACAAGGATCCGATATGTTAACCTATCTACATAGATAGATAACATTCGGAACATTAGCCAACGAAGATGCTGTGAACGCTACACTCATACGCTATATACATACGCTACATACATACGCTACATACATACATACATACATACATACATACATACATACATACATACATACATACATACATACATACATACATACATACATACATACATACATACATACATACATACAAAAAAAACCAAAAATGATAAAATTGCTGGTTACATTTACCAAGGAAGATAGTGAGAATAATCATAACAGGACAGCAACGCAAGTTTCTCCTATTTAAACCTTTCATACATGTCGAAGCTTGTGGGAATTATACAAGTCACCAATTTGAAAGATACCAGGTCAAGTAAACACTCAGGACTACCTAAGCTATCGGTCTGACTAAATTCAGATTTCCACTGTCCTACATGAAGATCAAACAGCGACCGATTAGGAGGTATGTTCGATGACCTTTGACTTATTTGATTGAACTATAGCTTTCAAAAATCTGTAAATGAATCGCACGTTGAGGACCTCCATCCACACCGCTCCGTCGCCATCAAGAGAATCATGACTTAATCCGATTAGCTGATAAAATTAGTTAGGATGTTAATTTAATTGGTCGCATTAATATGGCCCCTAAGCGGCCCCTGTCCGACCTTCACTTAGGGCAGCGGAGCTCTGATTTTAATCAGATTGTCTTAGCTATTTATGCCGGATAAAAATATGCCACTCTGAACTACCTCGCGGCTATTTCTACCAGACAAAAATATGCCTCTTATATATGACGGCTCATTAACATGTTTAAAAAACATTGTTCGCCGGAAATTTCTCCGTCCAAAACTTAAAAAAAAATAAACAATCTGTTTGGATTATATATGCTTTTCTATGAATGTATTGACTTTTGTATTAACTGATTGATTAAAAATGATTAAAATTTATTATTCTGAACATTGTGGTCAATCGCTCTTTCATAAATAGCAGATATGATCATAGACCGAGTTTCCTCTGACCTTTGCCACCCCATTTTTTATATTTGGAAATTTATGTTTGGGTGTATAGTCAGAGTCCATTCCCTATCTAAAATTTGGAATTCGCCGACACAGGTGGCCTAGTGGTTAGAGCGTCCGCCTCGGATGCGGGAGGTCGTGGGTTCGATCCCCGGTCGAGTCATACCAAAGACTTACAAAAATGGTACTAACAGCTGCCTCGCTTGGCGCTCTGCATATAGAGGTCAGTGTTAGGACTGGTCTACCTGGTGTCAGGATAATGTGACTGGTTGGGACATCATGCTACATGTTTGCGGCTGATAGACATCACTATAAACTGCCACACTGCAGACATCGTAGCGATATGGCTGAAAAATTATTAAAACTACGTTAAAAATCATAATCACATTATATCACTTCACATTTGGTCTCGGCATAGAGTAGCCGCTTAATAGCCGGTTTAGCAAATTTTAAGGACCCTTCATCGAGTTATACCTGCATGAAGTCGATAGGAATATGATTTATTTTCTCATTTATTGCGATTATTGCCCGGTTATATCTTTAATCCTTTGACAGACTAGCCGAAACTATAGCGTTGAGAAATTTGACCTGGAAATCAATTGCTTTCCGAGTCACATGACTACGCAAATCTCGCGACCCTCCTGTCACTGACTAGTCTGGTTCCCTGACCTCTCTCCACTACGTTGCTCTTCGTTATAACGAAGAGCAACGTAGTGGAGAGAGGTCAGGGAACCAGACTAGTCACTGACCGCAGGTCAAATAGTCACGTGATATCAACAATAAACCATTTCAAATGTTGCTATAGGAAAACAAATCCAACATATAAATTAGAGGCACATAATATTTATTAAAAAAAAATAAAAAGAAGCTAAACTTTTAAAAATATTTATTCTGGAAAACAATACCAGAAATCTGTAAATGTTGTAGCATCTTGAGAAAAAAAATAAGATTCAACAAGCGGTGAGCACATGTCAACGCAGTGGTCACGTGATACTAACAACATACATCGCTGACAAGTGTTTAGTACTTGATGAATCTGAGTTTCTCCATCTTGCTGCGATACCGACATGTTTCTAGTCGCTGTTCTCATAATAAATATGTTGAGAATTAAGTGTGCATTATATTTATGTATAAGTATTTCGTGACTTTCTGGTGATGGGTTGTTGGGTTAATTTGTTTGACGGATTGTACCTTCTTACAAGGTGTCCGCTTTATTTAGTTATCGTTATCTAGATGTTGATCGTAGTAGTAGGAGAAAGTAAGAATCCGAGCTCAACAACCCCCTCCAGACCTCCAAACAAATACAAAATACCTAGGTAACGTAATAGAAAACCTATTGCAATCAATAATTGCGTTAAGAATCCGAGCTCAACAAATACAAAATACCTAGGTAACGTAATAAAACACCTGTTGCAATCAATAATTGTGTTAAGAATCCGAGCTCAACAACCCCTCTAGACCTCCAAACAAATACAATAGAACACCTGTTGCAAAATATCTAGGTAACAGGTAAAATTTAATTACGTGATCTTCCAGAATAAGCAGAATGATATGTCAGACTCAATTTTCCAAATCATTACGATTTAGCAGAGCGTGGCGATTGTGGACTAAATTACGCATTAGAATTCCAGTAAAGTAAGTGGTATTATACCTCATTACCAACTGTTAATGTCTCAACTGTAGATATCAAAAATATTTCATTATCATGGTGATAGAGGCTAAACTTTATTTTACCGCTGACATAACGACGGGACTCAAACAAATCTTTTATTTGTGATTTGTTAAGAGGGTATTTTTTGTCGATAAAATACAACTTTGACCGATCAAGATCAATTGTAAGTTTGGTGTATTTTTGCTGACTAATCGGACAGTGAAAGTTGTTAAATTCCGCAAGCAACTTTTGATACAATTGTTCGAGATAATTAAAATACTCGCTGTCATCAGATCTGATGAGCGAAAGTTTTAACTTGTCACGGGTACCACTAAAGCATATGCCTGATGTTTCATTATTAATTTCAACTGTCAATGGTTTGTCGTCCATCATTAGATATTTGATTTTGCTACTGTAGCTATTTGTTACTGTCAAATTTTCAAACATTATTTCTTAAGTTTAGATAAAATTTTAGTTTGCAAAGATAATGTCAAGTATATCTCTATCATCATGACAATACCCAATTGCAAATGTATCTACCCCATTTTCGCAATAACGTTTATCATCAAAATTGCTCAAACCGCGTTTGATAAGGACATCTGTTTCGAGCTTATGATGATTTGTCCGAATTGACATAGCTCTTATAAAACTAACACCGCCATCAAGCGCATACTTGTAGTCATCAAATTTTATAAACTTTTTAACAAAATCACGAGGCAGACCTTTTGCTTTTTTTGTTATTTTATTATTGTCTAACAATACGGCATACATTTTACTACGTAATCCAATAAAATATTTGATAGCGCTCGAGTTCATTTCATCTTTGAACTTACCAATAACCTTTTTATTTGTGTCGTCATGAAATTTGCTGTCACGTGGGTAATCGGAAAGATCAAACAGATATCTATTATCATGCATGTCCTGATAGACGTCCTCGCATTCAATTTCATATACGAGCGAATCAGTATCAGTGAATAATAATCTACTAGCCGGCCATTGATTTTTAACAAAATTATAATGAAAATCGTACATCAGCCACTTTGATAAATCTAACACTGAAGCTCCAACGTAGATCGGCTTGTTTAGTTTTAGATTTGTTTTTCTTCTTTGTATCGCAACAAGATTCTCATTAAATATTTTCATGCTCACAAAATCATCGTCTGACACAAGCTTGTTTCTGCGATTGACATCATTGACTAGTTCGATATTTACGCGTTTCCTAATATTCTCCATCGTCTTACCAAAAACAGAATTGTTCATCAGTTTGAAAAAGTTTTTCTCAAAATCAGTTTTTGCCGCAGCTCTTCTTGTAGTGTTCGAGTTAATATAACCTCTCATCCACGGCGACTGATTAAATTTTAGTACGCGATGAACTTTTCTCAACACGAGACCAGCATCGACTGCTTGTTTTAAAGCTTTGTAATGCAAAACATAATTACGTTTATGAAGCAAATTTGGTACTAGTTTCTTTACCATAGAATGTTGTCTTGGTAATGCTGACGCTTGTTGTTCTTCTGATAACAAACTATAATCTATAACCATCGATTCCGCACAGAAAGGGTAATCGTTATGCAATTTGTGTAGCGAAGTTGGATAATCGAGATCAACTTCAACGAAATACGAAACATCGTCGGGTATCTTTTTTTCTGTCTCTGATAGAAATTGATCAGCCGTGATCCAATGAAATCCACCAAACGGCATTGATTCTGCCATCGAATACCCGTACAAGTTATTGCAATCTAGATAAACTATATACTTCGAAGGAAGGTCAGGATTATACTCTTTCAAATATTTGTTGTTTGCTTCAGCATATTTCTTCGTTATCACGCTAATACCGCCTCGGATACCTTTTTCAATAAAATTGAACATATCAACATCAGTCAGTAATTCCAACCTTACCTTACTAAACTTTAACAGAGCATCCCATGACAGTCCGGGGGCAGAATAATACCAACAAGGATCTAGTCCGTAATTATTATAACTCACTTCTCGAAAACTTTCAAAAACATTTGCTAATAATAACACGTCAGTTTTCAAATACAAATCGTGATAATCACCAAAAGTCTCACAATCAAACTCTTTCCAAATATCTTGTGCATACCTGTACTCATCATCAGTTATATTTTCATTTTTAAGTTGTGAGTAAAATTTGTCTTTGTCAGGTAAAGATGTTTCATCAAATTTACTCCAATCGTCGAGATATTCATATGGAAATACTCCTTTTTTGGTCAGTAAATTAAATTTATCTCCAAAACAGTCTCTTAGGTTATTAAATTTACTACAACCTTTTACTAGCTCATCTAACGATGCTGCCATAAACTGCAGGCTGTCAATAAAGCGCAATTTACCTAGCGTAACTGACATATACTTTTCAAAATTATTTGGAATGCATTTGATGACATTATTGAGTTTTAGATGAGCTTTTATCTCAGGATCACCAAAAGCTTCTACTATAATATGGCTATCATATCCTCGAAAATTGTGAAGAATAACTGGAATAAAATCTGGAGCGTGAAATTTTAAATTACACTGGTCATGAGCCGCTCCACGGTACTGTCCAGTCAAATGACAATGGTCATGTACTTTTTTGTTGTCAGGGTCAAAAGCTTTTTCACAAATATAACAAATTTTCGCTTGCTCGTGATCAGATTCTTGTTGAGGTGTTAATTTTAACATTGGAGTTACTTTTTTCAAACGATAAGTAATATTATCAACTTCATTAATCAACTGCTTGAGAAGCCAAACAGCTGGATTTTTACCACGATAGAGTTGGATTGGTTTAGATAATCTCGAATCAGCGCAACAAACTACCTTGTACGCTACTCCGCATGGAACATGATTTTGAATTTTTCTTGTACTCGATTGGTTAGGATCATTTTCTACGCCAAGTACAGGTTGAAGTAAGCATTCGAAATCGACGTATATGACGAAAGGAATTTTTAGTTTATGATTATGATGGACAAACTGTAACACGCTATCTTTTTTAGATGGCATTGTTATTCTTTGTACGTCACTACAGTACTGCAAATGCTTTTGTAATGTTTCATTGTCTCTACAACCGTGCAAGCAGCGATAACAAAAGAACTTTTTGTTGTTATTTTTATTATACTGTCTTCCAACTAGTCTGTTAAAGTTTTTGATCCAAACGTAATGATTTTTATAAAACAGTAAATTGATAGTCGATTGTGAAGCTCTTTCTGAAATATACCTCGGATAGACATTTTCTTTTTCATCTAATCCGAAAACGTTAATCGAAATATTATTTTGCTTTTCAAACTTTGGTATTTGATTTTCTGCCACTGGAAAGTCAATACCAGCACAATTTAATCTTGACACGTGACTGATATACTTCTCAACACGATCAGCATTTTTTTCTGCTGGAAATAGCGCGGAAAGAACAGCCCATTGGAAACATTTGCTATCGACGTTTTTTATGTTTATACAGCACTGTTTATTTTTTATTTTTGGTGGCAGGTCGATATACGAACTACCGCGTAATGCGTCATATTTCA